TTGTTGGACTTCTCTCTTTTAACATTATTTTTGTGAGATTCAGCTATGTTGATACAAGTAGCAGGAATCTGGTCATTTTCGTTCATGTATATAGCATGAATATAGCAAAAATGTATAATATGGATATTCCTCAATATTTTTGTTCATCGTTGATGGACATTTGTCTTGTTTCCAGTGTCTGGCTGTTTTTAATATCGCTATTTTGAACGTTCTTTTAAAAATTTTATAATTATGGTAAAATATATGTAACATAAAATTTTAGCCATTTTTAAGTGGCATTAATTCAGCAGCATTAATTCACTATCTACCATCTACTTCCAGGACATTTTAAAAATAACAACTTTATTGAGATTTGATTCACCTACCATACAATTCCTCTATTTAAAGTATAAAATTCAATGGTTTTTAGTATATTCACAGAATTGTGCAACCTTTGCCACAATCAATTTTAGCATTTTTATCACCCCAGTAAGAAACGCCGTACCCATAAGCAGTCACTCTATTTCTGCCTATCATTCCCCCCATCCCCCCCCAGCCTTAGGCAACCACTAATCTACTTTCTTTCTCTATAGATATATAAATGTCCCTATTCTGGACATTTCACATAAATAAAACTATACATTATAAGGTCTTTTGTGACTGGCTTCTTTCACTTGGCATAACATTTTTAAACATGTTCTAGCATGCATCAGTATTTCATTCCTTTTTATCACTGAATCACATTCCATTGTACAAATATAAACATTTTATTTCTCCATCCATCAGTTGATGGACATTTGAGTTGTTTCCAGTTTTTGGCTGTTATGCATAATGCTGCTATAGATATTTGTGTACAGCTGTTTCTCTGAACATATGTTTTCATTTCTCTTGGGTATATATACCAAGGAGTGGAATTACTGGATCATATGGTAACTCTATGTTTAACATTTTCAGAAAATGCCAGACTGTTTTCCAAAGTGCGCTCAACTCTTTCACAGTACCACCAGTAGTGTACGAAGGTTCCAATTTCTTCACATCCTCACTAATGCTTGTCATTATCACCTTTTTGATTATTGCCATTACAGTAGGTGTGAAGTGGTATCCCATCGTGTTTTTATTCGCTTTTCCCTGATGTCAATGATACTGAGCATTTTTTCATGTGGTTATTGGCCATTTACATATCTTCTTTGGAGAAATGTCTATTCAGATCCTTCGGGTTATTCATTTTTATTACTGAGTTGTAAGAGTTCTTTCTACATTCTAGATATAAATCCCTTATCAGATATATGACTCACAAATAGTTTCTCCCATCTTGCGGATTGTTTTCACTTTCTTGATGGTATCATTTGAAGCACTAAAGTTTTAAATGTTGATGAAGTACAACTTATCTTTTATTCTTTGGCTGTTTGTGCTTTAGGTATCATATCTAAAAATCTATTGCTTAATCCCCAAATCCATTGTTTACAAAGATTTATGCCAAGGTTTTCTTCTCAAAGTTTATAGTTTTAGTTCTTACATTTTGATCTTTGATCCATTTTTTTCCTGAATATTCTTGTACATGACTTTTGGTGAATATATGTACACATTTCTTTGGGTATATACATAAGAATGGAATCACTGGGACATAGGGGTTTTGTATGTTCAGCTATAATTCTGCAAAATAGTTTTTCAAAGTGGTTGTACCAATTTATCATCTGACTCCCAGTGTATGAGAGTTTCAGTTGCTCTATACCTTTGTCAACACTTGGTATCGTTTTCATTTTAACCTTTCTAAGAATGTTTACTACTATCATGTTGTGGTTTTTTTATGCATTCCTTTGAGGACTAATGAAATTAAAAATATTTTCATATATTTATTTGCCTTTGGGACACTTCTTTTGTGAAGTGCCTTTTCAAGTATTTTGCCTAATTTTTTCTTATTGTAGGAGTTCTGTTTTAGTTATATATTGCCACGTAACAGAACACCTCAAAATCTTTGGTGGCAATGATTTATCATTGATTTCTAATAGTGACAAAACATTGATAAAACAATAATTTATCACTTTTTTGTGTTGGCTCGTGTTTCCTTTGCTAGTTTGGCCTGAGCTTACTCATGTAACTATATTCAGCTAGAAGGCTGGCTGACTGTAGAGAAATAGACTCTGTCTCCGTATAAGACAAATGGCAAAGGCACATTATAAAAGGGTGTGCGTACTGGGATAGAGGGAGTTTGTGACCATTTAACAATTTGCCACGGAAGGAAATCTAAAAAAGAGTGGATGTATGTATACATATGACTGATTCACTTTGCTGTACAGCAAGAAGCTAACACAACATTGTAAAACAACTATACTTCAATAAAAATTAATTAAAAAAACCCAAACACTCTGCCAGCTTTTTTACATGTTCTAGATAGGCACTCTTCATATACACACACACACATATCAATATATACATATATAAATACATATATAAGTATATATTTTTTCTCCAACTCTGGCTTGCCTTTTCTCTCATCTATTAGGATCTTTTGATAAACAAAATTCTTAATTTTAAACTGGTCTAATTTATCAATCTCTTCCTTTACGATTAGTGCTTTCTGTGTCCTAAGAACACAAAATAATTAAATATTTAAAAGTATTTGTCTACTCCAAGGTCATAAAGATATCTTCCTATGTTATCTTCTTAAAGCTTTATTGTTTACATTAATTGCATTTAGATTTAAAATCCACTTTGTGTTGACTTTTTATATATGGCACATGGTAGGGATCAATTTTCATGCTTTTCTGTATTATAATACAAATAATAACACAGTTCATCAAAAAGGCCACCCTTTCTCCACTATGTGTTGTCGTAATTCAACTGTCCATGTATGTGTGAGTCTGTTTCTGCGATGTCTGTTCTGCTCCACTGGTCTATTTGCATATTCCTGCCCCAATTCTTGCACCAATACCACATTAAATGCTGTAGCTTTATAAAAAATATTGAAATTGGAGAGTGTAGGTCATCAAATTTTGTTTTTCTTAAGGTACACTGACTCATCTTGGTCCTTTGCATTTCCAGATGAATTTTAGATTTGTGAATTAGAGAGAAGGAAAGGCCATGCACAGCCCAGCAAGTTTCTATACCTCCCTTCTCTTTCACTTTGGAATATGAAAAAGACACTCATCCTGAAAAAAACACTCATTCTATTTGCTTCTCTGTGTCCTAGTTTCATAGGACTCCCTCACCTCCCCCTGCAAGGGAGGCCTGTGGGTTTCCAGCATCGTCTGGGTGGGTAAGTCCAATTCAAGGAGGAAATGTTAGGAAGCCTTCTTAGCTAATATAACAAACGTTTGCCCACCTACCTTTATTAATAAAACAAAACAAAGCAAAAAACCAAACAGACAAAAGGATGTATTTTGGTCTCCTTCAGTCTGGCTACTGCATCTAGTTCTCAGTGGGTTTTGAACTTAGACAAGGAGAAGTGCTATTTTGGGATTTCCCCCAAACCTGTGAGGAATTGTGAGGAATAATGACTCTTGACATTCAGTTTTCTGCCTGGGCTGCAATTACTCTTTGTTATTTCCACCTCTTTAGTAAAAGACTCTCATATACACATAAGCCTTCAGTTGGTGGCTCTCTGGGGAATGAAGAAATAAAAGTGGCTGGAACCTCCAAGTGAGGAGGATGGGGGAGGGCGGAGGGGGGCAGGGGTGGGGCGGAGCAGCCCTCAGGAGCCCTGGAGGTGTCAGGGGAGGCCATGGCCTCCTGTATGGTAGACATACAGCTCATTCCTCTGCATATTAATAAAAAGCCATTCCCGGAAGAGTGCTAGTGACCCACATGTATCAACAAGTAAACACTGCATAACAAATTAGATTATTCCTCACAACAACCATTTATTCCTATTTACAGATGTAGATGAGAAGACCTTGCAAGTCCATTTGTTCTAGAAAATAAATTCCAAAAAGAACTGGGGAGAGAAAAACTCCCCCTCCCCCGACACATTCACACCTGTGTCCAGAGACCTGCAGAGAGGGTGCCCTTGGAAATGGTGGAGTGGCGGCATTGTGAGGATTAGACTTACAACCACACAGGGAGCTATGGCTTCTTCTGTGAAAAACGGCCGAGTCTGGGTCTGCGGCCAGCATCAGGGAGTTGGTGGAAGCCAAGCCAATGCCTCCAGAGATCCCCTTGCCTCTCATCATTGACATGAGCTTGTACCATCACTGCACAGGTGCTCCCAACCAAGCAAGGACCTTCTTGAATGTCATATTTAGAATGACCAAAAGAAGGATGTCTGCCTATGCCATGTGACCTTGCTGACCTGCATCTGAATGGTCCCATGTGGACACCCTCAGGACACTGGCGGGCCCTTTAAAACAGGATGTGTTTCTTAACAGGCTGAAGGGTGGTTGTAGCTTAAAAAAGAAAACCCAGCACACATTCTTGGCGGGGACTGGACAGTAGGGAATCACATTTTCATTGGGGAAACTGAGGCTTAGAGGGGGTTAAGTGATTTGTTCAAAGCCACAAATGTAGATAGTGATGGAGCCAGTATTTGCACCGGTCACTTTAAGTACAAACCTTTTATCTTTAGCCAATCTACCACACCACCTCACAAGTTATTGCTGCAGGTGGAGAAAGGCCCCTATACTCTAAATTTTTCATGTGCCCCAGTGCAGATCTACTTTAAACTCATCTCTACCCCTCTCTGTGCTCTTTGAGGTTGACCTTTGTGGACTGCATCCAGGGGTTCTTTTGCCTTCTGGCTTCCAGTTGGATTTGGCCAATGGGAAGCACAGGCAAGAGGTCAGAGGGCAGGAAGAGAGCGAGGGTGAGCTATTTATTTTCTTGAGCCAAGGACTGGTTGTGCCCCTTGGCTGACAGCCACAGTGTGCTCCAATGTCCCTTTCCTGCAGCTATTCCCTCTGGGTTCTGGTACTCTCTCCCTCCCCCTGTCCCTTCAGCCTTCTCTTCTCACCCCAGGGTACTTCACCATGCTTGTGGTTTCCCTTAACCCTTCTAAATAATCCCTTCCCTAAATTCTCTTTACTTACCTGTTTGATGGAGGGTAACGTCTGCTCTCTGCTGGGACCCCCAAACGATCCAACTCACAGCCCCCTTGCTCACTAGATTTGGTTGGACCCTGGAATTGGGCCAGATGGAAAACTGGAGGAAGAAAATAAAGAGAGGATCAGATACTGGCCCAGGACACAGAATTTGCCCTAGTGGGGACAGCACTGCCCAAAGCGCCAGCCCACAGCAGCTCAGTGGGTCTCCAGCCCCACCCACCAGGTCCCCCCCTGCTGCCCCCGCTCCCACGGCAGCCCCTACCCCACACTAGCAGTGGCTTGGAGCTGGGAGAAACCCTGGTGTCCCAGCCCGGCAGATGTGGGATGGGGACAAATAACACAAGAAGACCTCCTGGCTCTACCACACAAAGGACCGTGCAGATCAGAATCCTGAGGTCAGAGGTTGGAATCCTGAGTGGGTTTTTCTCCAGAAACTTTTTGCATATACCTCTGTCACAACGGTGTGATATTTTAGATACATTAAGTGATCAATAACATTCAATGACAAATGAATTTTGTGGATGGCTAGGGCCTGACGTTTCTATGGTGATGTGTCACAAATATTTGCCAACCAAGTACCCAAGACAATAAAATGACCTCATTTACTAAGTGAAGACAGAACACGTCTAACCTACACTCCTATCATTTACACCGATGCAAAGCAGGATCCTCATGATTCCTAAATCAAATAAAAGCTGCCCCTGCCCCTCTCACTGCCTTCCCAGGAGACCTCTCAGCTGCTCTCTTTGGCAGCCCAGTAGGGCTGGAAGTGAAACCCTTAGGGAACCCACTGGGCTCCCAGTGGCATGGGCACATCAGTCAAATGACTAAGCCCCTTTGCAGACTGTTGGCGTGGGAGTCATTCTGTCAGACTTCCCTGGTTCTCCTCTGGTGATCTAGCAGGGGCTGGAAACACATTGCCTGGAGGTGAGATTGCTTGGTTTCAAGTCTTCTGTGGCTCTGCTAAATTCCTCCAGCAATACCACTCCCCAGTAAGTTGGCCCTCTGTATCTGCAAGTTCCACATCCACAGATTCAACCAAACTTGAATAGAAAATATTTGGAAAAAAATTCCAGAAAGTTCCAAAAAGCAAAATTTGAGTTTGCTGCACACTGGCCACTGTTTACATAGCATTTGCATTGTATTAGGTATTATAAATAAGTAATCCAGAGATGACTTAAAGTATATGGGAGGATATGCAAGGTTATATGCAAACACTATACCACTTCATATAAGGGACTTTAGCAACTACAGATTTAGGTATCCACAGGTGGTCCTGAAACCAAACCCCCAAGGATACTGAGGGACAACTGTAATTAAACTTCCATGCGCTGTGGAACCAGATAATCTTCATAAATGGCACCAGCCCTGTGATGAATCTTACTGGGAGCACTCAGATGCTGTGGCTGATTGCCCACTTGACCAGGGAGAATTATTTGTGACTAGGAAGCATGATTAAAGTCTAAATGCTTCCTTGAGTTAGCATTTGAATGGTTATCTTTAGTATGTGTTGTGATCAATTTTGTGTTTAAATGTGCACCTGAAATGGCTCTCTGAAATGATATCAAAAAATACATGGATGGATTTTACGTAATAAATTGCATAACAAGCAAGTTGGAGGCAATGTGACATAGAAGAAAAACTGTGAGCTTTAACATTAGACAGACCAGGGTTACAATCTAGGCACTGTGACTTATCAGCTGTGTGTTCTTGGCAAGGTTACTTAACCTCTCTGAGCATGTTTCCTATTATTCCAATAGGAATATTATTCCTATTATTAAGAATAATAGCCTCACGAGTCTATAGTAAGTATTAAATGGGCCAAGCATGTAAAGCATCTATTCATTGCCTGGCACATTTGAAGGTGCTCTTAAACAGAAGATTAAATATTCAGGATCTCATTTCAATCATAAACTAAATCTATGGATATTGGCTGCATTTACTACAAAGAACAGTAGAGGGCAGGCTTTACAAAGTTATTTATGAAATACTGTCTTTCAAGTCATCTTCCAAGCCGAAAGCCAGAATTCCAGAAATGACTTTCTTAAATCCTTTTGGCTGAAAGATGCTTCTACCACTACTTTTAATTTCTTCACGGAAACTGGGGCTTTCCTGTTTTGCAAGAATTCCAAAGGAGGATGTTGGGCAATATTTACCCACAACTTTCACCACCATGATGTGTGTGTCTGGTCCCCAGATGACAGTGGAGGGGTTTTGACAGATTTCTCTGACCACATTTATGCCTGTCATAAATTTAACGATAAATAGAGGAAATAAAAGATGCCAAACTCTCTTGACATCATTTCAAATTGCATCATGTAAGAATGGCATGAAGTTTGTGACTAGAAGCATTATAGAATACAAGGAGTCAACCTGCAGCTGACTGGAGATCAGATTACGTTTAGTTAATGATTGGGATTACAGTGGGTGTGAATTCCATTCCATGACAAAAGAACAAATGGGCATTTAATAAATGTTTGTGGAAATCTGAAGAGGTTCTGAAGGGTAAACATTTGTTCCAATTTTCACTGCCACCCGCAGTCTCTGGGGGAACCAGCCTCACCCAGGCTCCACAGCAATAAGTGATACCACTGCTTGGCATATTCAGTAATTTGGAGATGGAAAAATGGCACCTCAAATTGCTTAAAACTCATATTTCTTTGGTCACCAGCGATGAACATCTTTCCCCTCTGTGGATGTGAACATTTTTATTTCTTCTTTCATGGATGGCCTGATCATATCTTTGGCTCATTCTTCTATTTGAGTCCTGAACATTTTTTTCTTGACTTCTGCAAAGGATTCATTGTAAATCATTGATATCATCCTTGGAAAACATAAGTGACCCAGTTCTATCAGTCTGTGGTTTTCCTAGCATATCACGTAGCACACGATTGGCACTCAAAAATGTTTATTGAATTGTACTCTTTTAAATTATTTTATATTTTAAAATACAGTTTTGAAATATAAAGTAAATATATACTCATTATTTTTAAAAATATTGAATAGGTAGGCAAAGTAGAAAGATCACCCACAGAGGCAAAGACTGTAGTTTTACTAGGCACTTTTTAATGGCTAAATACTGTTCAATCAAGTTATATTCTCACTTAGCTATTTTCTAACTCTGTTTTCACTTTTGTTCTATGATAACGCTGTTAAAGGGACAGAAACACCAAATTGTAAGTATTTATATTTATAGTTCTACTCCCCACAAGCAGTGTAATCCACCACCTCTGTACACACATACACCAATGCTCTCTCCAGCCCTCCTCCATTTCTCTTTCTCTCCCTCCCCCCACCAGAACAGCAGGTACAGAGGAAGGCATTTTTGCTTTGCTGAGCTGCGGGGAAGTAGAAGGGATGAATGGCTGAAGGTTTGAGGAGTGTTTACTAAGAAGGTAGTTGAAGTTGCTCAGGGGGAAGAAATATCAGTGAGGTAGGTTGTGAGATAGAGAAGATGAGGGGGTTGAACTTTGGGAAGACAGACAGAGATGATTAAAGAGGATTTTAAGGAAGTTTTGATGTCTAAACCAGCACTCTCCATGCTGGGTTGTGAACTGTTTATCTCTCTGTGCTAAGCTAATTGCAAAAATCAAGAGCAAGCATTTAGAAACATTTACAGAAATCTGTCATGGCTGCAATACCCAAGTGAACTTGTCTTGTTGAACAGAACGTGGGCAAGCTGCACGGTAGTCTTGTGCGAAACGCTCACGTCACAGCATGCCGTGTTTGAAGTTATTTTATCAACTGTAACTCGAAAGTTTATAAAAAGCTGAGAAAATGTAAGATTATAAAGATGAATTATTGGTGTTTATACAAGATGAGAAGCCTTTTTTTTTTTTTTTTTTTGCGGTACGCGGGCCTCTCACTCTTGTGGCCTCTCCCGTTGCGGAGCACAGGCTCCGGACGCGCAGGCTCAGCGGCCATGGCTCACGGGCCCAGCCGCTCTGCAGCATGTGGGATCTTCCCGGACCGGGGCACGAACCCGTGTCCCCTGCATCGGCAGGCGGACTCTCAACCACTGCGCCGCCAGGGAAGCCCGAGAAGCCATTTTGATCAACTTTTAGAAGATGTGAATTGGATAACCAGACTTGCTTATTCGTCTGACGTTTTGATAGTTTTAATCATCATAATGCTTCCACGCAAGGAGGTTAACATAGCACATTTCTTTCCATGGCAGATAAGATCTAAGGGTATTAAAAAAAACAGAAGCTTGGAAGAACTGAGTTTCTACAGATTGTTAGGCATGTTCCACAGTATAACAACAATTTTCTGTGAAGTGCGTCCGTGACTCTCTGCTCTTCCACTTCTGACCCCTCATCTTTATTCTCCTTCACTCTCTGCCTTTTTTCTCTCCACCCTCTGGGAAGGTGTTTCTCATCCTCTTCTTTTCTATTCCCTTGGGGGAATCTCATCAAACTCACAGGTCCCAATGTTCACTCTCACATTTATATAAGTCACATAGCTGCAGAGAGCAGTTTTCCAAACTTCTAATTTTAATTTGTTGGCTCAAATTTTGATAATGATTTTTTAAAAGTCCATTGTTTTCCTTGAACGGATAGGCTTACTTCATTCATCTACAAGAAAATACCTGCCAGGTACCCAACTCTGAATGTCCATAGTTTATCAGTTCTGCAAGTAAAGGTGGCTCTCCATGAAACAAGCAGCTAGATTAGCTCTTATGTGAAACCACTGTATATGTGATTTTCCTCAGCATGCAGCATCCTACGAGCCTTCTTGGCAGTGTCATGGCTGAGAAATAAGGTGCTTTCTCTTTAACATTTAGCCTTGACTATTCCTAGTCTTTAAGCCTTACACTAGGGTGACTTTATTTCCTGAATCTCAGATCAGAACATATGGTTTGCAAAACGACTTTTATGCCAATTTGAGGTATAAGAGGCAGGCTGAAAAGTAGACGTTTCAATGGCTTTGATATTTTGTACGACTGACCAAGAGACTGCTTGAAATTGGAACTATCTTAAACATCCCTGACATAAGCCACTAATGAAACTGGTGAGTACAAAGCTCCTCCAGGAAGGTAATGGGGAGCAATGGAACCATGTCAGTGCCCCACTTGGAGATGTTTAGGCAAATCCTTGA